GGGGGGGAAGAGAGGGGGAGAGACATGGATGTCATCAGCAAAAGAATGGCCGTATTGAAGCACAAAGTGAAGAAACTCTGCAGGTCTCGCAGCGTTGGTGGAGGGAAGCAGAGTTAATGTTTCAGGTCCAGAATGACGCGGAACTGAGCAGACCTATTTTCTGCTATTAACACCCACCGTGTATCTACATCTATTCTCTACCACCTTTAGCAGTCCTTTTGCATTTTGCCCCTGCGCACCCTTCTCCGTCATTTCAACTTGCTCCCCCTCTCGTACAAAAGCTAAATCACTTTTTCAATGCCCATCATTTCTGAAGAGCCACACTGGACCTGAAAAGTTAACTGTTTCTCCACTGATGCTGCCAGACCTGCGGAGTTTCTCCAGCACTTGCTGCTTTTATTTCAGATATCCAACATCGACAGCATTTTGCTTTAATCGAAGTATTAAGCCCCTGCTGCTGAACTTCACCTCCTCTTCACCACCACACCACACCCCACCCGGCTCTGTCTAAGGTCTGAACAGCTCACACTCCCACCTCAGAGCCAGAAGGTCATGGGTTCGAATCCCACTCCAGGGACATGAGCACTGAATCAGTGCAGCACTGCAGGAGGCGGTGTCTTTCAGATGATGCATTACACCAAGGCCCTGCCTCTCAGGTGGCGATAGAAGGCCCTACGTTGCCTATTTTGTTGAAGAGCAGGGACATTTTCCCTAGTCGCCTGGTCAATATTTATTGCTCAACAGTCAGTTTAAAAAGAGAACAAAAAAAAACAGAGAATCAGATGACCTGGTCATTACTATATTCCTGTTTGAACACAATAATGAGTAGGCCATTCAGCCCTTCATGCCTTTCAATAAGATTTGATCGAGGTCACAAATCCATTTCCCTGCCCAACTCTCATTATCCTCTACCCCACTGTCGATCAGAATTCTGTCAAACCCATCCTTAAATATCTTCAAGGGGCCTACTTACATTGCTATAAAGGAAGAGAATTCCAGTCTGACACTGCTCTAGGGGAGAAGGGAGTCTCATCATTCTCATTTGCTTCATAGGTTAGAGACCCCCTTTTTAAATTGTGTACATTAGTTATGGTCTGTCTGAGGGAGCAAACATCCTTTCTGCATCCACCTGATCTTATTTCAGTAATGCCTCCTCTCATTCTTCTAAAGCCCAATAAATACAGGTCCAAAACCCAGCTTTTCCTTTTAAAGGCTTTGCTGCTGCTGGGGCCTTGCATTTTTACAATTTTATATAAACCACTTGGATGAAGCGGCAGAGTGTCTGGTAACAAAATTTGCTGATGATGTAAAGACAGGGTGGGAAAGGAAATCATGAAGAGGATATACACAAGCTCCAAAGAGATTCACACAGGTTCAGGGAATGGGTAAAGATCTGTCAAAGAGTGGGAAAATGCAAAATGGTCTGTTTTGGCAGGAAGGATAAAAACAATTGTATTATCTAAATGGTGAGAAATTTCAGAGGTGAAATGGTGAGATGGAGTGGGATCAGTGTGCTGTTGTGCATGGATTACATAAGATTAGAATGCAGGTGCAGCAAGTCATTAGAAGGTTACAGCTTATTGTGAGGGGAACTGAATACAAAAGTGGACAGGCTATGTTTCAGTTGTGCAGGGCACGGTCGCTCAGTGGTTAGCACTGCTGCCTCACAGCGCCAGGCACCCAGCTTCGAGTCTACCCTTGTGCAATTGTCTGTGTGAAGTTTGCACATTCTCCCTGTGTCTGTGGGATTTCCCCCCCCCCCACCCCAGGCCAGGGATATGCAGGCTAGGTGTCTGGCCATGGGAAATGCAGGGTTACAGGGATAGAGTAGGGGGGTGGGGATGGGGTTAGGTCTGAGTGGAATGTTCTGAGGATCTGTGTGGACTCGATGGGCCGAATGGCCTGCTTCCACACTGTAACGATTCCATGAGTCTACGACTGCATTTGGAGTATCGTGAACAGTATTGGTCACCTTTTTTGAGGAACAATGCAAGTGCTTTGGGAGCAGTGCAGAGAAGGTTTACCAGACTGATTCCTGGGCTGACAAGGTGTGGAGTTGGAGGAAGGAGGGTCCCAACCCGAAACGTCAGCTTTCCTGCTCCTCTGATGCTGCCTGGCCTGCTGTGTTCATCCAACTCCACACCTTGTTATCTCAGACTCCAGCATCAGCAGTTCCTACTATCTCTAATACCTGGGCTGGGCAGGTTTCTTATGAAGAAATATTGGACAGGCTTGTATCCACTGGAGTTTGGAAAAGTAAGAGGCAACTTGACTGAAATTTATATGATCCTGAGGGGGCCTTTGACAGGGTGGCTTTGGGGAGGATGTTTCATCTTACAGGAGAAAGAAGTCAGGTTTAAAAAATCAGGGCTCGCACATTTAACACAGGAAGGAAACCTTTTTCTCACCCCCTCAAAGGGTTGAGAGTCTTTGAAACTCTCTTCCTGATAAAAAAGTGGTAAGAGCAGATTCTTTGAATATTTTTAAGGTAGAGGGAGAGAAATTCTTAATAAGCAAGAAGGGGGAGGGTGTGCTGAAATGTTAATTGGGGGGGGCGTAGAGGAAGGTCAATGAGGTGAGAAGGAGCATTAATTGGGGGGTAGTGGGGGGAGAAGAGAAGAGGCAGTGAGGGAGAGGCATAATTTGGAGTAAATCAGATGAATCACGACCTTATTGAATGATGGAGCAGGCTGGAGGGGTTGAGTGGCCTACTCCTGTAAGTTAGCATGGTTTTCTTGATAAATAGCAATGATTTGTTCTGGGTGTTATAAAACATTCCCTATGGTATGGAAGCAGGCCATTTGGCCTATCAAACCACACCGACCCTCTGAAGAGCATCCCACTATTCCTCTAACCTATGCCTGTAACCCATCAGTGGGCATCAGTTAGGACTGACAGGTGGAGATACAGGAGATATCAGGACAGGGGGAATACTTGGCAGATTTCAGACAATCTAATAATAAACAGGTCCAGAAACATCTGGTCCATTTCCCCTGTGCTGGCGTTTATATCCTAACTCAATCCCCTTCCCATCTCACTCCATCACCTTTTAACAGAATGGCCTGAAGAAAATGAGGCTGAGATGGAGACGCTTAGAGAGGGATTTCCAGAGCCAATGGATTAAGCAGCTGAAGGCATGGCCACTAGCGGAGGGTGTAGCGAAGGGAGTGAGGATTAGATTAGGCACCAATAGGAGAGCTCCTCCAGTCAATAGACTCTTAAGTATGTTTCCTGGGTTGTAAATGTGGAGAGTCAGTCCGAGGCTGGATCATCGAGACCCCCTCCCCTCCACCTCCTGCATCCAACTGGCTCTCAAAATGTCCTTCACGGAACAAAATCCCACATTCCTGACTGGATCCAGGCTGGGTGACTTCTGTTCTACATGAGACAGCTCACTTTCGATGATCCGAGACAACAAGGTGCAGAGCTGGATGAACACAGCAGGCCAAGCAGCATCATAGGAGCAGAAAGGCTGACGTTTCGGGCCTAGACCCTTCTGATGCTGCTTGGCCTGCTGTGTTCATCCAGCTCTGCACCTTGTT